TGACTGACTGGATCTCCCTCAGTTGAGAGTGCTTAAAGTACAAATGAGCCTTTCTCTGCAGGCTGCCTGTGAAAGGTTTTGATGTAAACCTTCCAGTGGTCACGGCAATGCAGTGAAGTGATAGCCTTTCGTACATTCAGAGACTGAAGGAGATCAAGGTTGCTTTCCTATCAGCAGAGTCACTAGCAGGAAAAGGTAGTCCAAGCGTGGGCCTCGGCTTGGAGGGGAGAGCATTGTGCTGACAGAACTGCTGCTGCTCCACTAATTCAAGGAAGGGGTAACCCATTAGAGCTGCTGCTTGTAGCCTTTCTGCCTTCAGCTTGTACACAGGATCACCTCAGGGGTGAACTGTGGAAAGGGAACTGATCCTTCGGTAGGGTGGGAACAGGGTTTCAGGGGGCTGCCTTCCCTGTGGCGTTACACAGGCAGCATCCATGGAGACTTCTCAGGACTGAGTTTCAAAAAGTACAAGGCCGCAAAAAAAAAGTATGAGTTTCTGCTTGTGTAAGTTTAAAAAGCCCTTGCTAAAGGTTCGGTGTGTAGACTCCGACCTGTTTCACTTCAAGTGTCGGGTATGTTTGAACTTCAAGTGAAACATTAGCTAATGCATGTCTGGGTTTTTTCCTTCAAGAGGCCCCAAGTCTCCAAATATTTTCTGGGATGCGAGTCCTTTACTCAGGTTTTTCTTGACTTGATTTTGGCAATTTTTGGCTGTGACGCTTTTTTAAGTGTCTTTAAGCAAGTAGCAAGGCTGGATTCAGCCTATTGTGTGAGGGGGTGAATGTGTCTGTATCCCCTGGAGCTAACTGCCCTCCTGGGGGAGGACTTAAAGTTTGAGGGACATGTTTACTAACATGAACTGCTAGCAAGTGGAGATGTTCTAGTGTCTGCTATGGGGAGATGGAGGGAAGTGTGTGTCAAGTCTCAAATCGGTGCATTTGAGGAAAAAAAAAAAAGGATAACAAGCTAGTCATTTTTCCCCTGCCCCCTTTTTTATAACCACTTTTAAAATTAAATAGGGAAGATAAACTGCTGGAAGCTAAATTTGCTCACCGCAAGTGAAAAAGGGAATGGCAATGTCTGCATCCTAAACAGGCTGAAATCACTAGCTGTATTAGAAGTAAAATTGTGTTTAGGTGAGTATCCTCAAATAGTAGGATCTCTCTTTCCTGACTGTAAAATTTGTAGAATTTCATCAAGAGAAACAATTTTACAGTGAAGCTGATCAGACACAGCTGTCAAATCCACTAAGTAAGCACTTTTTTAAAAGTTAATGAAAAATTACTTTTTTTTTTTTCATTTTGCATATGTGTTTGGAAAAGAAAGAACTTACTAGTTGCTGTGTTGGAAGAGATAAGACACACACCTATATATTTCTATATTTTGGTTGTTACCTATTACAAAATCACTAAATCTAAAAGATGCTGCTGGGTATTGTGCACCTCTGCTCCATCCCAGTGTGCATGAATGTTTTGACAGTGTCTCCTGTAAACAGGATACGGAGCTGTCAGAGCTCTGATTGCAGTTGTCAGTGTTTTGGAAAGTGCATGGACAAATTCTAGCTGCTTATATTGCTTGCGTACATGTGCGCAACCTTCCTCCTTTTCTTCTCCTGAGATGCTATTAATTGAATCTCTTTGTGATCAAGTTCAAAGACTAAAGACTCTGGATTAAACACAGCACGTAATACTGCCTTTTGCATTTTTTTTGCCATTGCTGTGTTACTTTTCCTGTGACGTTAATCTTGAATTGTTTGGAATAGCCTTAGAGCTGATTAGTTACTCTGTGTTTCTTGGTAGCAGCATATGAACACTGCGTTAATGATGCCTTACTATGCATGTTATTTTGGTTTTGAAAAAACAAGCATTGTTCTGATGCACCCTTGAGACAGAGACCCTGGTATGTAAACTCTCCAGAAATGTAGACACACTTCAGTGGAGAATCCCTAAACGGGATGCTTGGATGGCCTTTCCCAAGTAAATAAATATTGCCTCTTAGTTAGTTTCAAGAAACATGGCACACAGCTGCTCTTTACTCCTTGTTGTAAAATAATGGGCCATTTGCTGACTGAAGCAAGCTATTGGCATTATTGCTAGCAGCTGCTGAACTCTTTCTTAGTGTTAACTTAAACAGCTTGTAAATGTTAAATCATGTTGCAGTTTTGTTAGAGCGTGCCTGCATATCCCAGAGGCACTAGCTTAATACGTCAGACACTTTTTCACATGAACAGATGACATTTCTTAGGAGATTCCAAATAGTAATTCAGTAGTTTTACTGTGGTGGCTGAAGTTTCTTCAAAACTGCACTTTTAACTACAGCCTCACGAGTACTTATACAGCTTCATTTAGATGTGTTTCAGTAGGCTCAAAGCTGCTGAGCATGCTGTGGAATGACTATGCAGTCAAAGGGAATAGGCTGTCTGCTTACTGACCTGTTGTTTGGAGAGCTGTGACAAAGTCAAATCCAAATCTAAACGGAACAAAATCTGTGCAGTTTATTCTGTGCATTGGTTTAAAGTCACTTTCATATTGTAATGGTTTTGCTGCCATACAAGTGTGAAAAGCTTACATGAAATGTAAGGGTTTGCTGTAGAAATATGTGTTATCTGCATAATAAGCAATTAAATAATGTGCTGTGGCCTTTTAACAGTCCCTCCCACTCTTCAGCCAGTGGGAATGTGTTCTTAAAAACAAGACAAAGCTCCCAAACAAACTAATCCTTTCCTTCCTTCAGGTCAGATTCTGCTAGTGTTCTCCGTAGAAAGCACTGGTTAAGATGCCAGAACCTGGGTTTTGAGCCTGTCAAAATGATTGTAAATATAGCACTAATGAAAGCATAGATAATGAAGTAAAAGCTGCTGTATTATTGTAGGAGTTTAACTTTTTGATTTTAATCATTGTGAAGGTCAGAAAGAGGGCAGTGTTGTTGCTAGTGCATGCCATATAGAGAAATTATGCTTACCACCTCTAAAATCCATTCTCTCATCCTTACTTTTATGTGAGCATCCAGTGGAACTTTTTCTCTCTAGGGCAGTGGTATATGCTTACCGGAACTGTACTTTGTGCCTACCAAACTAGTCGAAACTGCAGTTAGTCTAGGCTTCTGGTATCAGCCTGTGAACCTAGATTAACCTAGCTACAATGTGACTGTTCCCGTACAAAGGTATATATTCTCTGCTGTGAGTTTGGATGGTGCTTTGGTTGTGTGTGTGTCTGCTGTTCCTCTTCAGGGTTCTCTCCTGGCTACTTGCAGAGGAATGTCCCTGAAGAGATGTGTAGGACAGGGACAAGTATTGTAGACTGATGTTACACGGATCCTATCCTGTAAGATGGGAGGTCCCAACTTGAGCTGGAACTTCTTAGGTCCTTGCATGAAGTATGTCTTGTAGGGCCCATGGTTTAGAGTACAGAAGATAATAAACAGGACCGTTTTTTGTGGTGGTTAAAGTATGAAACAGAAGAGAAATAAGTCTAACACTACAACATATACAAATCTGTGAGCAAGGGTTTAATCTCAAAACATTCAGTCATTCTATTTCCAAGGACAGGAGTAAATGTCACTCTTCAAGTAGGTGGATGTAAGAATTTGTTTCTGGACTTGTTCCTGAAAGCCTGGAGAAAGATTGGATAGTAGACAATCTAGTCGTTTTTAGTTAGAAATGAAATGGAAAACTCTCTGGGAAAGTAGAGGGGACTCCAGATTTTGTGTGTGTGATTAAATTATAATTGCATGACTGATGTGTTGGGGAAGACACAATTGTAAAAAGAATTTGGGATTTTTCAAAAACTTTTGAGCTCACTTTATTTGTAAAGAGTGGTGTAGTTCATTACAGATAGTATGACCATCCACTATCAGTTCTGGTCACATCTTTTTCAGTGCATTTCTAGTTCCTACCCCCCCTGCCCCAAGGTCCACCTAAAAATTCTACTGTTGCCCTTTAATTCTCTCCTGTCTACATGCATGTCTCATGCAGCAGATTGAGACAGCTTGCTGAGATTAGATACATCTTCAAATATCCAAAGTGGTACTTAAATGAAAAACGAAAGAAAAGAATCCTCAAACTGATTGAATATCTCAGTGAGGACTGTATGTGCCTTACTTCGAGTCTGAAAGTAACTTTTTTATGCTGCATTGTTAAACTGACAGAATGGAAGCCTGTTTAAGTGTTTGAGCTCAGGAAATTAGTTATGAAAATAGTGAGGTGAATTTTGATTCTCTTCAAAATTCTGATCTAGCAATACCTTATTGTGGCTGCACTCTAGGTTAAAATCTAGGGTTTTTTTGACCACGTGCATGTATTTGGGCTATGGTGTGATTTGGATGCTGATGAAAAGCATAAATGAGTTGAAAGCTGTCTGACACATACAGAAGGCTGTGTATCTGCCAAATCTTGGCTAATGCTGTAGTCTGAAGGCTGATCTCAGAGACCAATCTCTGGACCCAAAAATGGGAGGGACAAAGAAGTGAATCCCCCTGAGTAAGCAGCTTTCCTTGGTTTTATTTGATAATTCTGTAACCCTACTGAAAAGTCTGAATGGATGACCTAAATGTTGTTCCAAATCTAATTGTTATGTGTCTCTGAGCAAAGGAATAAATTGATCTTAAACACTAAGTCCTGCATTCAAGGATTTGTCTTTGGATTTGTAGATTTCAAGAAAGCAATAGCTACAGGAGCTGGCAGAACTTAAAAGCAATGTATGATGTACACCGTTAAGCATTTCTTTGCAACTGCAGAGTTTGACATACAAATAGGCTAGTGAATTGCCAAAGAAGTGCTTGCTTATCCAGGTAGGGATGTACATCACCAGTACCATCTTTCATGTTATTTGTGTGACTCATAAGTAGGCAGAGACACTCAGGTTTATTAGGGAGTAACTTCTGTGTTAGTAGGTAATTTGTGTGGGGAGAAGGAAAGCACTGAAGAACGGAAGTATTAAAAGGTGCAAAAGAAAGTTGTCAAAAGTACTAATCACTCTGTGGTTTTTTTCTCTTGCAGACCTTCAAGTGCTGACCTTCTTGGTCTATTAAGTTATTATAAACTTTTGCTGCTCTGCGAACATATAAAGATGTCTCGCAGCCCTGATGCTAAGGAAGACCCTGTGGAATGCCCCCTCTGCATGGAGCCTCTGGAAATTGATGACATCAACTTCTTTCCTTGCACCTGTGGCTACCAAATCTGCCGTTTCTGTTGGCATCGTATCCGCACTGATGAGAACGGACTTTGTCCTGCTTGCAGAAAGGTAAATATCCTGGAACAGCGGCTTGTCTTGCACATATCACAAGGCTCTTGCATTGTGTTGGTACCAAAGACATCCTTTTCCTTCGGGGAAACATTCATCTAGTCATGGCCTAGATCAAGGGTGAGGTGTTGGATCTTTCAGATTCTGTCTGCATATGTGTCGAAGCTGTTGTGCAACGGCTAGTCTTGGTTTGTTAAATTCAGAACTGGATTAATAGGGGAAGCTGTGGATCAGAACCAAGGCATGCTGATGCTGGGAGAACTGCCAAAAAAAAAAAAATCCTTTGAGTTGGGGTGCTCATGCATTGTCAAAATCTTTTCAGGAAGGACAGTGAGGATTCCAGCATCAAGGGTTTGTTGAGGGCCAAGGTTCAGCTAAATGAGCAGAGCTATCTGAGGCAAGCTTATAAAGCACCTGCTTCTTTTGTTTGTGGCACTGGAGCTTTTAATCCATATTTTTTTTGGACACTAAACTTGTAAAACCTTTTGGAAAATATATCCAATGGTGTTAAACCGTAAAGCATTAAAAAATCCAGGCTAAGTCTATTTGTCTAGTATTCTGATCTTTTTTCCAAATGCTTAAAGGTAGTACTTTGAGAGTCACACTTAATTTCTCCCTATCTCTTAATTGATGTCTGGCTGATACCTTGGTTGGCTACAACTATAAACTTCAGCTTCACTAAGTTGCCTTTTTCCTTTGAATTATTTTCCTCCTCCTTTTAGTGTTTTGCTTAACCTCATTATTTCCTTATCCTCAGTGTTTAATAAAATTCTTTCTCAGTATCATCTTCTCTTTAATGACTTCCCGTGATTGTAACTTTCTTGCCTGGCCTTCCTCTCTTTGTAATTGCAGCTAATTATGTCCCCTCATTCTCCTGCTATTTAATCGTGGTCCTATCCTCAGTTTATGCCTTTGTTGGCTTCCTGTCTCATATTACAGCTCCCTCTTCAGACCCTGAGTACTCGCTCTCACTATCTTTATTCACTGCCACAGCTTTCTATAAGCACTTCCAGTCATATTTTCTTGCTGCTCTTTTGGGCTTTGGCTACACTAGAGCTATCACTGCTAACCTGTGTTTGGATGCCTCTGCAAGCTTGAAGGCTATCCCACAGCAGCGTAACGTTTGTTAAGAAATTGCTCAAATTTGCTGTGATATTTGAGCTGTATGTACTACAAGGAAGATCTACCTGCCATCAGCCAAATCGGTCTCCACATGTGATACCTGCTGTAGGTGACACGTCCTGTATAGTAATTTTCACAGTACAAGAAAACTTCTACTCTTCTGGTACAAACGTGAGATTTCTGGAATTTCCTTGTCTGTGTAAGTCGCTTCATTTACCTGGATTTATTACACTACTTTTTGCCAACAACTGTTTGATTCATCTCTGCCTGTTCGTTATTGGAAGCTTATGGAATATATCTGAAAAATCACAGAAGCGGCATGCTATTTGCTGCCTCTGGGTGTCTGAATTCTTTGAAGTACGGATACTGCCACAGCTGCACTTCTTAATGTGGAATAATCTGGCATATGATATGTGCAAATATCTTGTCGAATTGGATACAGTTTGCTTAGAAAAACAGTTTTGGGAGGAAAGCTAGAATGAGTGCTACATTTGGAATGAAGTGCACAGACCGTTCCAGGAAAGGAAGGAGACCACCTCTTTTGCAATGGATGAGGATTATGTTCTTGATACTTCCTTCATCCGTGGACTGCAGGATGTTCTTGAGTAGAGTTACAGCTATATCGCTGGATTGTAGGAGATTTGTATGGAGGAGGCTGAGGAGTACACTGCTTTCATGGCATAGACAAAGACATTGTGGCACAGAGACCCCATCAGGATCTTGCGAATAACTCATTTTGAGCTACACAATTGATGGCAGCATCAAATAAGTCTGAAGAAGCCGCCTTTTGAAGTGTGCTAGACCTTCTGAACCAGGTATGTGTGTTTGTGTGCAGTGTGTCTAAATAGCTCCTATCTGTGTAGCAAGGTTTCTGGGGAAAAGATCTAATCAGTTTTCTAATTTGTATCTAGTAAGGGGTGTATTGTTGTGTTTTGATAGCTTAAAATGCTGAAGTGCAGACAATGGCAATGCAACAAAATTTTTCCAGGAAAGTTTATAGTAGGTGCTATGCTTTCAACAGGTACATCATGTTTATAATGTGTATACTAGTGCAGAATACTTAATGCAAAATGGACTGTGAATAAACATATATTAAAGCAAGACTGAGTGTGTTAGGCACAGTTACGTAATACAAAATTGCTATTTGTGCCAAGGGTGTTGAATGCAATGCAAGTTCTCCAGTGGTTTGATCACTAGTCTGTGGAGAGGAGCAATGAAGTTCCCTATCAAGGGGTTTCGTTTGAAAGGTTTGGGGGAGATTTTGGAAAAGTCTGTGATAAAGTAGTTTGGCTATATACTATAGTGGCACCTATGCCATTAGTTTGAAAGGCCTTATATATATTGCATATATACTGTTATTTTCCTAAGCTTCTCTAATTTATCATAGAATCATGGAATCATTAAGGTTGGAAAAGACTTTTAAGATCATCAAGTCCAACCGTCAACCCAACACCACCATGCCTACTAAACCATGCCCCGAAGTGCCACACGTGCACGTTTTTTGAACACCTCCAGGAATGGTGGCTCCACCACTTCCCTGGGCAGCCTGTTCCAATGTTTAATTCTAACCCAAAAGGTGTTAGCTTGCAGGTTTATTCTACCAAGGAGAAAATAACTTCTATGTGCTTGAACTGTTACATAGCTTAACATTTGCACGTGCAGAATATGTTCATGTGGCTGCAGTCAATTGAGCTAGTGTGTCTTAAGCTTCCTCCTATTAGTAGTGGTTGTAGACAAACATTTGCTTTTTGATTTGTGAAAATAAGTGCTAGTATGAATTTAACTTGAATGCTGGTTGGGGACTAGTACTTGTTAGTATTAACACATTAAAAGCTTTCTAAACTTTATTTGAATCTTCTGAAATAGACTCAGAAATTGTTTCTGTTTAATTAATTAACTACAAAAAGTACTTCCTTAAAAAATAGAACTGATGTGCTTTGAGTTCCTGATGCCTTTCAGAATTGTAGGTGTAGTCAATTGTAAGATGCTAAGCAAGTCTTCCTGTTTTTTCCAGTCAATTGATTTCTTAACTGTGAGTGAAATAGCTGCTAACTAGTCAAATTAGAATGAAAATATGCTGTCCTCAAAAGAGAATTCTATAGCCAAAAGCTGGTTTACAGGTCAGCAGGTTCACTGGTTCTGGTTGTAAAGCCAGTGATTTTTCTTTGCAGTGATTTTTCTTTTTTCTTTAAAAATCAGTAGCCTAGGTACTGTTTGTCATAAGAATAATATGTACCATTTCAGTTGCTTCTGTTGCTTTTAATAGAGGATAGCACTCAGACCTCAATGTCAGTTGTTGCAATTCAAAATCCAGCAATAAAAAAGCCTAGCTCCTTCACATTTCTTAATTGCTCTGCCCTTCCATCAAATAACATAACTTTATACACAGCTGTTTCTCTGGTGTGGCTTTGTCTTGTTCTCCAGTTCCTGAACTTTAGTGAGCTTTATTCATGCTAGCACCTTGTGTTAGAGATGGAGAGAAACAGTAAACTTCTACATTTATGACCAAGAAACTAACATGTTTTAAGTACATGTTTGTCCATGTTTCTCCTACTCCTGCCTCTGTAAACGGAACACCTGCTCTTAATGCACAGTCTCCAAATGTCAGTCGTTTTCTCCGGTGCTTTTAATCCCACAACTGAGTAATTTGGTGCAACAATTTATATTTCAAAATATATAGGAAATTGCTATTTTTAATTTTTTGTTATAAGCAATATGGTGTATACTATGCATAAACCTTATTGACTTTCTCTGTATTTCTCATTTCAGAACCTATTCGGTAGCAAGGCAACAACTGGGAAATGTTGGTGCATCCATTGTGTGGAATGAATGTGACCCATCTGGGAATGACAAAAGCAAAGTGCTTGATAAATCCCAGCTCAGCTTTCAACGGTTGGGAAAATGTGGGGGAAAAAAATCTGAAAGAAAACAAAACTTAAATGGCAAGAGAAACTTAGTCAGGAAGACTGAGAATTCATCAAGGGCCATCTCTGATTAAAGAAACGAGACTACAGAAGAGGCATTCGAACTTTTCATGAAGTTCTTGTAGGATTACCAGCAACTTGCAGTTAGTGTAAACAAAGCCTGGTAATTTTTCCATGTTGGCACTTCTTGTTCAGGTGGCTTCTATGGTTTTTGCTGAAGAGCATTTGTGTAACTTAAGTGGAGGGTATCAACTAAACTTAGCGGATCAGTGATGTTGACATCTCTTAATGTCTTGCATCTGAAAATACATGAGACTTGATGTAGCTACTTTGCTTGGATCTCAAATCCTCTACCAGCTAAGGAATCTGTGGTACTTGTTTAACCTATCTTATGCTTCTTGGTCATCTAGTCCCTTGTTTTATGCCATGCAAGGCAGAATTGGTTTAGCTATGTATGTCAAAGGGGGGAAAAAAGGTGGTCATGTCAGTAGCATTGCCACTTTAGCTGTTGCAAGACCTGAGAGCTTCTGGTATCTGTGGTCTTCTCCCTATCCCTATTACGTAGGGTTGGACAGAATAAACAACAGATGAAATGGTCTTGTGAGATATTGACATGAGCTGTCAATCCACCTTGCTTGGCTTTCAGAGCCATATTCCACCAGCCTTCCCTGCACGTGTTCTGTCTGTAGTTGAACTATCATCTGAGTTCATGAACTTCAACACTGGGGGAAGCAAACACTTTATTGTCCTATTTGTAGACTGACTTTATGTCCTTATTTGAAAGGAGCAGGATTTCTAATACTTACTACTTTTTAGAATTAGCTTCTGAAATGTTGGTGCTGTGCTTACTTGGCTTCCTCCCTCCTTAAATGCACAGTCTTTCTTATCTGTCGTCATGCCACACATTATGTACTGATAGGAAAATCATCTATCACATCTTAGGATTGGGTTTCTGATTTATTCTTGGGATTCAAGAGGTGCATGCAGATTCATTTACAGGTCCTGCAAATCGGGTATCTAGCTACTCCTGTTTCTTAAAAGCATTAAATATGTCATAAGAGTGATAGACATATATATGAAATACTTCATGTATAATACAGCTCTACAGTATCTAGCAAGAACTTTTGATGATACTGTTGCTCAAACAAGTGCTGTTATCAATGGTGGCAAATCAACTGCTGCTACTTCTTAATGATTGAAGCCTTATTCAGGCAGTTTTATACTTTCTGCTGAGATGATGATGTTTCTCTTCCCTGATTCTGAAGTTGCTGTTTAGTTGGGTGCCTCCCAGCAGTTCTTGTTTTCTCGTGTGTAAGTACAAGTTTTACTACAGACAAGTAAATGTTCTGCTCAGGGTTATGCTTGAGCTACATGGGATGTTTCATGACTAATGTTCAGGACCTCTGGCAGCAAATAGCTGTACAGAGAAGGAATATACTGTCTGACTTCTTGTTTGAGAATACGCTGTGAATGTGGCTGTACTTCGCAAGAAAGAAGCTGATGAACTTCGGCACTGTTTGCCTTACTGAAGCCTTACTGAACCTACTGAAAACCATGAATTCATTTGTTGCGCAGTACCAGAGAGCAGCATGCTTGAATATCTTGCATAGTATGGGATGTGGAGAAGGAATTAATCTGTGGAAGGATGGATTATGCGTATGATACCACATCACTTGATGTAGGGCGAGCCATTTTATTTTTGGAACCATATCTACCCTGTACTGGTGGACTGGTTTTCTTCCCATTCCTCCCTGAACTCAGCTTGACTGTGATAACTGAATTAACTCTCACTTTGCTGGGCAGTCTTTCTCTTCCCTAAAACAAATCAATATCTATTCTTTATTCTACATGATTGACTAACGTAGACTTTGAGAAGCTCTTTTAAAGAGTGAAATGTTTTGTAGAATTATTCTGCATCTCTGAAGTCCTCATGTGTACCTGTGTTAAAACTTGAGATAATCATTGTCCATACCTAATCTCAAGTGACATCACTAACAGATCATTGCTCTTCAAATACATTGTGAAATCTGTATAAAGTTTTCAGCATTACTTGTGAATAACATAACTTTATAGGAGACAGTACGGTTTTAACTGTTCTTCAAGGGTAACATGAGTCCTTACAGTGTTTTCATGTTAAGGACTTAGTTCTGTACCTTTAACTACTGCTAAAGTATCTTAGAAGTTTAAATTCCTTTGTGCTACTAAAAACATGTTCCAGAGAACTTGGTGTTTAAACATGAGATGCCTTCTGCTGAAGTCAACTGCAGTGTGTTTTCAGAACATGTCTCAAGTATAGCATAATGATGCTGAACTCCAGACTCTTTAAACTGTAAAATGGATCTTGTTTTGTTTGGAGATGTACTCAAACACTATCAGGTCTGAGTGCTTGGTGGCTCTTTCAGTAGCATCATGCACATATGAGGAATACATGCTTTTAACCTAAGCCTTATTTTCATCTGCTGCTGTAGATTTTCTCTGGTCATTCAGTATGACAATTAGTTTTTTATTCTACCATTAACAGAGGACAGTCAAATTCATTTTTGTTGGACTTTCACACCAAAACCTTTGCTTATGGTAGTACAAGCAAAGAACTTAGCTCAACATACTGGTGAGCTTAACTTCTTTATCTTAAGTCTTTACCTTAATGCACATCTACTGTACTCTTTTTTTTTTTTTTTTTTTTACTTCTCAGTGTTTAGAAACACTACTTTTTGTTTGAGATGTATTTTATATATATGTAAAAAATAATTATATACTTACTATATTTATATACTTGAGGAAACTGGTACAGGTAAGGAATATGGGACTGCTTTGAGGAGTAATCTGGGGCAGAGGACAGTGCACTATAGTGTACAAGATCAGGCTAAAATACTGCCTTTATAACAGTGCTCTGCATGAATAGAGCGATCTTTCTAGGCAACTCTGAGGGCACTTGTATTTCTGTTAGATGCTTTTAAGATTAGAATCTACAGTGTCACATTTGTGTTGGAGGATTTATCTGTAGGTGATAATCTTGAAGTTAAAAACGCGTCTGTGTCCAGGAAAGACAAAGCCCAAGTTTCAAACTGGTACACAAGCATGGCAAGAATACTCTTAAATCAGTATGCAGCAACTGTATTGCAATCTGTCTCTTCGCTAGAAGTTAACCATGTAAAGATTGAGCTGTGTAATGGTGTTAGCTGTCTTGAACTTGGTGGGCCTCTGAAATTACATTTGTATTTTGATTTCTTCTCCTGTAGTTTTTGTTGATACTCTTAAGTATCCAAATCTGTGACAGACAACTAAATATAAAATGAATCTGCAGGGCAGACTTTCACCCAGCTTTACTATGCTATGTTAGTGAAATCTTAACAGGATGTGTTGGCTGTTGTGTTGCAGCTGCTTGTAGTGTTACCAAACTGACTAGGCAGCTGGGTTAGAATGTGGCTATTTCCCAAATCAGTATTATGTCTATAAATAGGAGAATTCCATGAAAATATGCAAGATGTTCACCTTCCTCAAAGGACTGAACATGCTACTTCTATAATGTGGCTGGCCATAACAATCAGAACAGTACAACAGAAGGAAGAGGTTTGTGCATTAAAACATCAGGATTAATGATTTTCAAATGCATTTTTTCTTATATGGGTTGTTTTTAATGGTATTTGTTATATTTAGCCATATCCAGAAGATCCAGCAGTGTACAAACCACTCTCCCAGGAAGAGCTGCAAAGGATAAAAAATGAAAAGAAACAAAAACAAAATGAGAGGAAACAGAAGATATCAGAGAATCGCAAACATTTGGCCAGTGTACGGGTTGTACAGAAGAACCTTGTCTTCGTGGTAGGGCTCTCTCAGCGCCTAGCAGATCCAGAGGTGAGCAGTTAACACTTGCAGATCTTGCTCTTAACTTACTGTTAACCATTGGAATACCCTTGTCTGTCTCCCTGATTGGTGTAAAATGAAGCAGCATTGAAAAAGTTCACTGATGGTGAGGCCCCCTCTTCTTAAGGGAACCTACACAGCTTCCTCCTCCAAAATAACCTCAATAAGTGTTTATGTCTTTGCTTTGGAGAGTATGGATGCTGTTTTTTTAAAGGAGACTGTTCTTTGTTTAAAAATGGCTTGTTGTTAAGCTAAGAATAAGCTTAGAGGTTTTTTTTAGATACTCATTTTCCTAGGCTGGATCTGGTGTCATGCACCACCAGTTCTAAAATGGGAGAACAAATATAAAGTGTAGCACAAACCTGTTGGGACAGAAGAAAAGCCAACACTTGAAGTGTAACTAGGAAGGAGCATAAAGGTGATGTCAGTTGAGGAAAAAAAAAAATTCGTAAGAGGAAGACCTAGGAAAGAGTTGGCTTATTACTCTGCATCATCAAAAAAAGCTTTTCATTTGAGAAAACTGGTTGTGTTTAAAATTATTTATTTACTTCCATTATGAGTCAGCTGCAGGTGGGTAATGGACTTAGTGCTAATGAGTAAAAGTACTTTTGAGTTAAAATTTGGAGGGAATGTACTACAGGATAAGATAGATGTCTTGAAAACTACTGTGTGAAGTTCAATCCACCTGATTGGACTAAACTGTGTGGAGAAATCTCAAACAGAAGTGGCTGTTTCTGAGGTCTCGGTATGGGCTGCATTTTGGTAGACTGGGAAAGAACAAATGCAAAAAGCTGCTTTTAGTGAAGGGGAAAAAAGTATGGATTTGAAAGGAAGAGAAATATTAAAGTGATCTGTTGTATAACACTTTGGTTTCTACAAGACTGTAGCAACAAGGATTTATTTGCAAGCAGCTGTCAACACTGGCTTGGTGCTATTTATTAATGAAAAGTGTATTTGGTTTCTTTGACCAGACAGAGGTTTTGTGAGTAATAGAAATAATAATGTATACAGTTAACTATTTTTTTTTGAACCTCAGAGTTGTGCACCAAATACTTGAAGTAATTAGAAATTGGTTTATTGGTGTAGAAAGTGGGGCAGGGGGTGTGTGTACTAGGTTTGGTGGTAGCGCTATTCTCAGTGATGTACCAGAGGGTACTTAATGGTACATGGGTACATAATAATGCATATAGCACCAAGATGACTTGATTTCCAAGAAACCTAGCCTGAAAGAGGGAGATCAGCTAAAAAAAAATAAAAAATTATGCAGTATATTCAATTTACATCTTTCACTTTAATTGTGCAGGAGATTTGTTTGTTTAAGATAATTTGGAAGGTGAGATTGGCTGCTATTTGCTGTTTCTGGAAATAGATCTGTGGATACACTTCTGTGACATGCTCTTGTGAAAATTGTGAAGGCCATGCTGCCAAATCTTACCAGGAATATAATCTGCAAGACACTTTAAGAAACTTCTGCTCTACTCAGGATTGTCAGTCTCATCTGGAATGATGCCGGAGGGTGGGTGTAGGATCTTTCAAGAGGGGTATAGATCAAGTGAAGAGCAGTCAGAGACCAGTGAGTGACTGGTTGTCTATACAACATGCCCTGTAGTTCTACAGGATGTTACAAATGATCTTGAAGGCGTTGATGCTCCTTTGAGAAGGGAGGAGGTGGTTAGGTAAAGAAGTTCTTGGAACAGTACACTTTAACTGTACTATCCATTGTTAATATGAAGATGGAGCTGGGGAAACAAATCTTCCTTTTTAACCTCTCAGGTTATTGTCTAGAACTAGAAATATCCTTAGCTTATGTAGCTTCAGTCTGAGTAGTCAGTACTTCTGCACCTCCTTCCGTCACGGGGAGAAAAAGAAAGGCTTTTTGGTACCAAATGGGTCAGATACATTGCCAGTTCCATTGGCACACAGGTAACTTATTCAACAGAATTGCTTAATATGCTAGAGATGTTCCTGCTTTGCACAGGATCCTTAAATGGTGTGTTACTAGTAACTGATGCAGGGAAGGGTAGGATAGGAGGGTTTTTTTTCTTCAGGGATGTGATATTTACTCATTCATTTCAGCAAGATGTTGATTCTGAAATGTCTTTTCTTGCCCCTGGGAAGTGTCATATATTGTCTTCCCATATTTAGTCTGGTCTTCTGAAAACTTGAGGCTATCTCAAGCTAACTGGCTTACTGTCTTTGGAGTGGGGCAAGTGAGTCAGGATTCAGCATTTTGTTCCTAGCAGTTAATATATCTGAATGCAAGTTTAAGGTGGTAATTTTAAAACTGGAATGAATGTCACTTTTATTTTTTTCCCTTAGATTATACAATAGATACATACAGGAATATTTCATGCTGAATGGGATGTATCTTGCAGGAGTAGGCTTTGCGTACCAAAATTACCCAGTTGTATAAATACAACATAAAATGTGGAATATAACTCATTTAAGTTCTTTACTGCAGTGGCAATGTACTCTATTGCAAGTAACCTTGTTTTCTATTGGAAAACAAATCTGTATCTATATTCTCTCCTCCTCTTTGTAAAGAGACCTGCTTTTTACTAGTTAAAGCTGTTAGTTGCTCAGTTGCACAGAAAAATAAACACAGTCCTGTATGAATTAACTTTCCAGTGTACCACTTTAACTTTCTTTTCTTGTAGGTTTTGAAACGACCAGAATATTTTGGGAAGTTTGGTAAAATACATAAAGTTGTTATTAATAACAGCACATCATATGCAGGCTCACAGGTAAGTCAGAGACCCTGGTGATTTTTTTTTTAATTCATTTAGAGAAAATACATGTGTGCAGAGTGAACCTGAGGCTTTCTATTTCTCATTAAGTAATAGGTTAAAGAAGTAAAAAGAAAAAAAAAGATGGTATTGCAGAAATCAAATTACTGTTAAGTTACTGAGGTATTGTCCAACTAGACACTGAAAGTTTTGATGCAAGATGCAATGTAGACAGATTAAAAACTGGGAGATGGGATGAGCACCTTCAAAGAAGCAGCAGTGAGGCATTTACTCACTATTCTGCATTTCAGGGATAAAATAACTAAGTATTTTTAAAACTTTCAAGGAACATTTTAATGCATTTCTTCCTTTCCCCATTTTTTAGCATAGCATCTAAATTTTTATGAATTCTACTGGTTTTATCAGTTTTTCTGTTAAAAGCATCTAGCTGTGAATGTAGCAATTTATGAAATGAGCTGCTAAAAAAGCAACTTAATGTTCTGATCTGTCTGGAGGAATTAAAAAAAAAAGAAATGGTATGTTTTTCTTTCTAGGGTCCAAGTGCCAGTGCATATGTAACCTATATCCGGTCAGAAGATGCTCTCAGAGCCATACAGTGTGTCAATAATGTGGTGGTAGATGGCAGAACACTTAAGGTGGTAATATTTTTGCATTCATATGTATATGTGCTAGGACACCTATATTGGTGGATAGTATAAAATTTTATTTGCATAGATATGCTTGTATGGCTGAAGAAGAATGTCCAGTTTATTGGATGTTAGGTTTTGACCTATTTTCCTAGCATTAATCAGAATGTGGAAGTTCAGTGAGCTTCCAGCAGGCAATGTTGTAGGAGGTTAGCGGGTAACTTAAAAGTTTGAGACGAAGACAGAGATGCACCATCTCTCCCCTCCCACAGTGGCTCTTTTGCTGTATAGCTTTAATAGCACATTGTGAAAACCTGGTTATTTGCTTTTACAGAGCATTTCTGTAGTCCAGACCCCACACCTCTCAAAAGCTCCCTGGGAAATGCAAGTTTTTTTTCCTTTTAGTATCTGTGTAAACAGGTATTCAGGCTGACTTGGCCAAATTGGTGGCTATAGAAAATAGTCTAGTTAATATTAATTTCCTGACCCTGCTACAAAACATTAACCAGTTTCGTGTAATACAAACTCATAATTATCTTATTTGGCTTCTTGTGATTATGAATGCAAATATTTACTGAGGCTTTTATTTTGGTGTTTATTTAGATTGGATGAAAATAGAAATACATCTTAATTAGATAATCCTCCAGTATATAGGTTTCTTACAATTGGACTTCCTAATCCATCTGCATTAAAATTGCATTATGATGGAACTCCAAATCTTGGGAAGGAATTTTTATGTTTCGCAAATATAGCTTTTTTTTTTCTTATGTTGTAAAAGGCATTCTTAACCTCTAGTACTTAAGTAATGATTTTTTTTTCTGGTTCAGGCTTCATTAGGTACAACAAAATACTGCAGTTATTTTCTGAAAAATATGCAGTGTCCAAAACCAGACTGCATGTATCTACATGAGCTGGGAGATGAAGCAGCCAGTTTCACAAAAGAGGAAATGCAGGTAAGTGTAATGAATGGGAAACACATGAAATGTGCGTGTATGTATCTTATTGTGTATAATGTAGCCTTTTGCTGAATGTTGTGGCAGAGATGAATTTTGAAATCTAAAAGGTGATTAACCAGTTGGATATTGGAAGTGAACAGTTAAATTTTTTCATTGCATGCTGATTTTAAAGGCTGAGAAGTCCACTGGGTGTTCATGAGTCAAAAAGATGGAGGTAAACTCCTGAATTCAAATAACCAAGATAAACCAAGAATTCAAATAACCTTGAATTAGCTACTTGCGCTTTGTTCATACCAATGCAAGGTAACATATGTTACTTTAAATCTCTATGAAAGAAGTTAGTGCAGATCTGGGTTTTCATGCAGGTTTTGTGTGTGTGGCCAGTTATCATGGCTTAACTACTGTACTGTCATTTGACTATGCTGTCTGAATTCTAATATCCCTGTTAGCCTGTGAACAGTATAGAAACTGTTCTGAAATAAAACACTGAGGGTTACTGTAATAGAGCATAAATACTGATGCAGGGATTTTTTTACTATTTCAACATCAAAATACTTATTATCTAGGGTAGGGATGCAAGTAAATAGATAGCTTTACTTTCTTATCTCTGCATCCATACTGTAATTTTTCCATGTGGTCTGTCCATGAAGCAGGTGGTCCCCACCCTTAGTGCTAGCACAGATGTTGTACAAGTAGATTTTACTACTTGTGTTAGGCTGATGTAAGTGAGAGAATAAGGAAGAATGTCCATATTAAACATTTCTTCCAAAAATTAGGAGTTATTTCTGACCTTTTCAGCTAGGTTTTCATAAATTAAAAAAAAAAAAAAAAAATACCCTGCTGGTTCAGATGAATAGTTCCTGTAGTATATATTGTTGCAGATGGTGGCAATAGGAGGTAAAATTCAAGGAGAACTTGCAAACCAGGCCATCCTCTCTGTTAATTTCCCCTGTATTTCTCCCACCATCTAGATATGTTATATTATACATGCTTGAGGGTTCCTGTCTAGACTTTTTAGCTTGTTATAGAACTGTCAGCCATTAATTTAATCCACATTTTGAACCTACTGACACTGTCAACCCTCTAGTCTTCTGTGGCAGCAAGCCTCAGAAGTTCACCAGATGTTTTGTGAATTGCTTTTTTTTGCCTGTGTTAAACTGATCTCCAGTTAGTTTTGTCAAGTGTCCTCTAATTTTGCATTGTAGTACTTGCTGAAAGCAAAACCCTTATTCACCTTATCCATTGCCTTTGTAATGTTGTAAAATTTCATCTTATCTCTCTCATCTTTCTCTACAAATCACACAGTTTCTGGGCTTTTAAACTTTTGTAAAGCAGTTGCTCCCTTTCTGTGGTAATTTCTGTTGCCCTTCTCTGTAACTGTGTCTTCCTTGAGATGTAGAGGTCAGATGCTTTATACTCATCATGTGGGGGAAGGAAAGTTTAATGTAACAGTCCTTGGTGTTTTATGTGTAGTGTGGTGTGGGTGGGTTTTTTGGTTTGTTTGGGTTTAAGTGCCCTTTCTAATGATGCCCAGCACACTTTTTTTCTGTTTGGGTGCCAATGCATAATCAACTAACAACTTCAGAGATCTGTTGGTAGTAATCTCAGTGTCTCTTCTCAGACTTGTAACAGCCAGTTCACGTATAAATAGAGCATTAGTATGGTTTAGGCTACTTTCTCTTGGTGTGTTACCTGACATGTCTCTGAAGCTTATTTTCCATCTTTTTGCCTGTGTCATGAGTTATCTGGGGTTCTTTTGGAGTTTCTCATTATCAGCATGGCAAATACCAAAGAGCTTGGTATTATCAGCAAAGAACTTGCTTTTCACTCCTTTCTCATGCATACCAATGGTATTGTATAAAACTGATGCCAGTCATCAGGTCTCTTTGCTTTGCTTCTGCACCCTAAAAGAGTGACCAGTAAGTCTCACCTCTGCCTTTCTATCTTTGAACCAGCTTCAATCCTGGTTGAAGAACAGAAGAACCTTCCCTCTACCCCAGGGCAGCTTCATAAATAACTTCTGTTGTGAAGCCTTATCAAAAGCTTTTTTGAAAATTTTGTGAATCCTCTTTACTTATGCTTACTGACACTATCATAAAATTCCATCATGTTAGTGTAGTAGGATTCCCCTTTACAGAAGATGTTCAGATTCATTCCCAGCAGACTGTTTATCTATGAACTTTGAGTGCGCCCTCAGTAAGTTTGCAGACAATACTAAGTTGGGCAGGAGTGTTGATCTGCTGGAAGGTAGGAAGGCTCTGCAGAGGGATCTGGACAGGCTGGATCGGTGGGCTGAGGCCAGCTGTATGCGGTTCACCAAGGCTACATGGCAGGTCCTGCATTTGTGTCACAACAACCCCATGCAACGCTACAGGCTTGGGGAAGAGTGGCTGGAAAGCTGCCTGGTGGAAAAGGACCTGGGAGTGGTGGTCGATGGCTGGCTGAATATGAGCCGACAGTGCCCAGGTGGCAGAGAAGGCAAATGGCCTCCTGGCTTGTATCAGAAATAGCATGGCCAGCAGGACTAGGGAGATGACTGTCCCCCTGTACTTGGCACTGGTGAGGCTGCACCGCAAATGCTGTGTTCAGTTTTGGGCCCCTCACTACAAGGAAGACATTGAGGTGCTGGAGCGCATCCAAAGCGGAGCAGCAGAGCTGGTGAAGGGTCCAGAGAACAAGTGCTATGAGGAGCGCCTGAGGGAACTGGGGAGGTTTAGCCTGCAGAAAAGGAGGCTGAGGGGAGACCTTATCATGCTCTACAACTACCTGAAAGAAAATTTTAGCAACATGGGTGTTGGTCTTTTCTCCCAAGTAGCAAGTGATAGGACAAGAAGAAACAGCCTCAAGTTCTCTCAGGGGACGCTTAAGTTGGATATTAGGAAAAATTTCTTCACTGAAAGGTTATCAAGCATTGGAACAAGCTGCCCAGGGCAGTGTTTGAGTCACCATCCCTGGAGGTATTTAGATGTGGCGCTTAGGGACATGGGTTTGTGGTGGGCTTGGCAGTGCTAGGTTAATGGCTGGATTTGATGATCTTAGATCTTTTCCAACCTAAACGATTCTATGACACCTTTTTTTAAGGTAGACTTTATAATGTTAGGAGGGATGGAGGTTGAACTTAGCAGTCTGTAGTCCACAGGATCCTTTCTACAGCCCTTTTTATAAGAGGCAATGGCAACCTGTCAGCCCTCTGGCCTAACTGCCAGTTAAAACTGGTAAGCTACATACCTTTGCCAGGAATGCAATTTCACATGAATTCCTTCAGAAGTCTTGAGTGGATTATACTTGATCTTGGTGACTTAAATGAATCTTCCTGTTCCTTGTTACATTCCTTAGACTTTCTTCTTGATTTCATATTGCTTTCTTGGAAATCATTGGCAATTACACAACTATTGAAAAGTGCACATGCTTTCAGTGCACCAGCTTTCTGGAGTTTGGGTTAGTGAATGAATTTACATGTCCATTTAATGAGAGTGAATGTTCATTGTCACAGACTTTGATTCTTTAATTAAAAAAATCAATGCATGAACTTCCATTCTAGGTTCAGTAATTGTTAATAGAGCTAAACATCATGAGAAACTATGAAGAACTGGTAGAAAAAGTACTACAGGAAGGACATTGAGTTGCTGGAGCCATGCCCAGAGCAGGGCAATGAAGCTCGTGAAGGGTCTGGAGAACGAGTCTTATGAGGAGTGTCTGAAGGAACTGGGCTTGTTTAGCCTAGAGGAAAAGGAGGCTGAGGGGAGACCTTTTTGCTCTCTATAACTACCTGAAAGGAGGTTGTAATGAGGGGGGTGTTGGTCTCTTCTCCCAAGTAACTAGCAATAGGATGAGACGAAATGGCCTCAAGTTGCACCATGGGACGTTTAGATTGCATATTAGGAAAAATTTCTTTACTGAGAGAGTGGTCAAGTATTGGAACAGGCTGCCCAGGGCAGCAGTGGAGTCACCATTCCTGGAGGTGTTCAGAAAACATGTAGATGTGGCACTTCGGGCCATGGTTTAGTGGGCATAGTGGTGTTGGGTTGACACTTAGACTTGATGATCTTGAAGGTCTTTTCCAATCTTAATGATTCCATGATAACTCCAGGAAGTTTCTGGAAGTGAAGTTAGGAATTTAGGTAAGGTAGGTTGGAGATGCTAAGTTTGGCCTCTGGATTGCTTCTTATAAGTGAAATATCATTAGTGCAAGCTCCTATATAGGATTTTCATTTTGTTTGTTTCTTATATTTATGTGACAAGTGAGCTTAGGACTGGCCTGATGTTCCTGGCCATGACATTCAGTCTTTTGCCACTGAAGTTTTAAGCAATGAGATACCCAGGGAGGTTTCTTTTTACTCAGCTGCTTAATGTTTGCAGTGCAGATCTGTGCATCTGAGCTAGTTCACAGAATCACATAATAATTAGTTGTTCATATTCTGCTCACAGCAGATGGCAAGAAGCATTTCCAGGGTGCAGCATATCTCAAAGTTTGCATTTAGGTGACCCCCACTCTACAACCACTGTCTTACTGTAGGTAGTAGATTGGGTGTAGACACTGACAAAGTTGGGTAAGAGAATGCGTACATCAGATGTTTCATTGTCCTTTTTGAGGGTTGTGTAGGTTGTTTTTTTTGACATGTTCAGAATCAAGCAGTAATGGAGAACTAGAGATCTAAGTAGCAAAAATCTGAAGATATTATAGTGTTTTCCTGATGGAGTATTCAGATGGAATATGCAGTTTCTCTTCCAAAGGAGCCTGTAAGGGAATTTAGTTTCTCAGCAGTACTGTTTTTTGAA